ACGAACAAATACTTCCGCATTGGAAATATATCATTCGAAGTGTCAATAATTCCTATCGAGAGATCAGCAATTTCAACTGAAGTTTCATTGTTAATCTCCGATAAGATACGAGTATTATGTTTATCTCCGATAAGATACAAGATTGAGTTATCGTTGAGTATTTTCTTTTCCTTGCAAGATGCAATCGTCGAGCGATGGAGGAATGAATTGCTCCCTCAAACGTGGCTCGGTTATGTTTGCAGATTTACAGGGAACTGCAGGGGATCGTTGGAACGAGAAGCGGATCGAGAAAGTGTATTGTCTTCACGGGAAATGGCTGTGCCCCCTTCAGAAAATGGAATGGTCTCGCAATCGTTCCCGCGCGTGAAAACCAACGTCACGAGATTAATTTCCACTTTTCTCTGACTAGCTTACTTCTTGTTTCGTAAAAAAAAAAAAAAAAGGAACAAACTCGCGTCTCAGTTTGTTGATCGTTGCAGTTACTGTAACTCAGTAGTTACAACTTACGTTTCGAAATCGTTTCTACTCGCGTGAGCCATTTCATTCGCAAGGATTTTCCATTCTTTTAACGTGCTTTTCGCGTGATTCTTCGTGGAGTTTGATGTAAAATTGTTAGAGAAGCTTGCTCCGACAAAGTTGAATCGTAATAACAGTAATAATAAAATAGTTTGAATTACAGTAATGTTGTGTTGTTTATAAATTTTAGGCTTTAGTAGTACAATGAAGTGGTTTCAATTATTGTCTCAATTTTCTCCTGGCATTTTGATCACGCCTAGTGTGCTATACATGAATATGTACAATAATTACAAACAGTATTAGCGCAACAAAGTGGTTCAAACTGTTACTTTAATTTTATTCTAGCTTTTAAATATGCATAGCATTCTTTATACACAGTAGTTATAAAAAGTAGTAGTACAATGAACATACATTAAGCTGCAGTTTAAATCTCGTTTATTCGTTTCATGTTATGTGAAAATGATCGTGATAAAACTTAGAATGCAAAAACAGTGCGATGAAAAAATTCGTGTTCTATGAGAGTTGTCCAAATTTATCGAATTTATGTTATAGGAGAGCAACTTTTGCACATAAAGACCGGTGTTTTCAGAATGTGAGAGATTTTACTTGTACCATTTTAACTTTATCCTGCTATTCTGCTATACGCAAAAGTACCAAGTCCGTTAGTTTTTAAACACATTTTAAGCTCAAAAACCTGCTTTTCCTTTTTCATTAGCCGCCATTCGTTAAAACAAAAGTACTTCAACACGTATCGTGACGTTAGTTTTTTTCACGTTTAATTCACCTAAAGGACGCAGCAAGGTTGTCGCTTTTAAGATTTCGCACGTTATATTAATAATACAGAAATAAAAGGTTTCATTGAAAAAAAAAAAAAAAAAAAAAAAA